AATTTGCCAATTTTGACGCTGAATTTTTAAAAATTTTTTGCACGGCAGCGAATTTTTTTATTACACACCTTTTTCGCATTTTTATATTATTTTTGTCACTTCTTAGTTTAAAATTTCCACACTGTTACGCTTTTCCAAAAAAATATATGTATATGTATGCAAGTGTATATCTACCTCAACGCCTTGTCTTGATTGTGATTTGCCGTCGCCAAATATAAAAGTCCCGCTGTCATCTTCTTCAAACGCTCACAACAACTACTACTGCTAGTTGGAATGCCACAGGCACTCACACGCGCACTTTCGCTTTCACTAACAACTTCGTAAACGGGAATTTGGACGCTATTTTTTCTCGCTGGTGGAAACATCACTCGCTTCAAGCATCTCAATGAAAACTAAGCAAATAAAAAAGCTTTCGCAGGACAAACAAATAAAATCCCTTTACTTGACAAACAAACACAGAAATAATATACAAAAAACACACACACAACGAGAGACGTACACACACACACTGAGAAACGCATGCAAAATTCGTAAGAAAGCCGTTAGAAGAGGCAATAAGCTGGCGGAGAACGCGTTTACAAGCAGGTATGCAGTAAAAAAGGAAGCCAAAGTGAAAGTGAAAATAACAAGAACACACTAAACATAACGTAAACAAGAAAAAAACGTTAACTTCGATTACACCGAAACTAGAATACCCTTCACAAATAAAAAGGTTTCCATGCAAGAACTTGATTTTGATCAGTCAGTTTGCATTGCAACTACAATTTATTCGGAGATTGTAGAGTTGGCTTGGAAAACAATCTATGCCAAATTTCTATGAGTTTGTATGATCTTATAATAATAATAACCCAACGATTACCCTCCTCCCGCCCAACCGACGCGAGGGGAGCAATCCGCATACGTGCGGAATTAGCCGAGTCAGAAAAGGCAAGAGAGCTTTTTAAGTGTTGAGATTTAAAACTGCTCAGCTATACAAACAAAAATTTCAACAGCCAAGATTTAAAGTTACAATATAATAAATTGTTACATTTTTATTTATTAAGAGAAAACAATAAAGTCTTTGTAATTTTGAAAAGTGAGTCAGATAAGTCAAATGTGCTGGAATGAGAATTAAAATCGTTTAGTTCAAAATTTGATCTACAGGATTTTAGCAGTAAAGGTCTAAACTGCCTCGAAAGGCGAACCGGGATATTAAATTTAATTTCAGACAGGAGAAAAGAACTGCAAAGTGTTCCATTCAAAATTTTCTCTAAAAATATTATGCCAAAGATTTCCCTACGACTAGAAAGTGTAGGTAGATTAATAAGTTTTAAACGACTATGGAGGTAGACTTACCCTAGAATCCCATTGGAAATGCGCTAAGGCGTATAGTAAAAATTGTTTTTGAACAGACTCTAACTTGTCAGAATGGATTTGGTAGCTAGGGTTCCATACATCAGAGCCATATTCCAATATAGGTCCAACCAAAGTTGTATAAAATGTTTTAGTACTATACGGATCTCTAAATTCTTTAGACCAACGTTTAACAAAACTGAGGACAGCTTTTGCTTTCAAGACCATGGTATCAATATGAAGACTAAAATTAGGCTTAGGGTCCATATTAACTCCCAAATCAACATAGTTAAAAACTTGCTTTAGAAGTATGATATATATCACATTGTGGTCCGATATCGGCGGTTCCGGTGATGAGCAGCTTCTTGAGGAGAAAAGGACATGTGCAGAAACGTCGCAAACTTACGCTGTTCAGGGTATAAATATAATAACAATAACAATAACAATAAACACAAATAAATAAACTGCGGAACGAAATGTAGCTTTTGAGTCAAACGGCAAAGGACTTCATTACGGAATGCGTATACACAATGAGATGCCCAAACACACACACACACACAATCATGCGAAAGCACATATACATACAAACATATAGCCAAACAAAGAGAATGCGTAAAGTAAACAGTTAATATACATAAGCTTGTGATATCTAACTTAACAAGCGACAGCAGAGCAGATAATTTGGAGTAGTCGTAGCGGAGGCCCATACTCCTTGAGCGGAGTGTCAACAGCCAGCAAGCCGGCTACAGAAAAAGAAAATGGGGGTTGAAAGTTGGCGCGAAAAGTCCCGCAAATGATTGCCAAGTGCGTCGGAAAAGCATTTTTGGAATCTGCATGAGTTTAAAATGAATAAATTTCCGCATAATTTTGAGTGTCTAAATGAGTGTATTTTTGAGTTTTTCGTTGCGAATGCTTAAGTTAAAATTAATCAATTTCGCTGAGAATTTTGGGTGCTGTTTTGAGTGGAGTTTTTTTTTTATTTGAGTGAGTGTGTTTTGAGTGAAATAGCTGAGTGCTTTCACTTTTTAAGTTTCTGTTAAATAAAATAAGCTTTGACGCTGCAAAAGCTACCAAATACATACAAACACACGCATTTGAGTGTTGAGTGCCTTTCTACCGGCGGCTTGCAAAAGAACGCCAACTATTGTTGCCTTGTTTCTACAACTTTTTCAACAACGTTCTGTTGCTTTTTTGGCTACTACGAGCAAAAAAGTAAAACGCAATAAAATACAGCGACAGCACGTGGTTCCATGGGGTCACATGTGAATGCGCGTTTGCACCCGTGTGTGTGTGTGTGTGTAGCGCTTTAATTTTTCGGGGGAGACTTTTGCGAGACGTTTCGCATTACAAATTCCCAACGGTAAAGGGTGGCATGCAGCCGCAGTGGCGCAGTTAGTTAGCAATCTCGTGGGGGACGCAAGGGCGCCAGTTTTGTGCGTAGCTCAGGGTTGCTCTCCTCTAACTGGCAATGTGGCAGCTGTGCGTGTATGTGTGATTGTGGGTGATGGCGTACACGACAGGTAAACAAATTACGCGCATTTCGTAGAGTTCACTGCCACCATTTGCTGGTTTGTTTGCCGCTTCTTAATGTCGCACAGGCGCTCAGCTGGTAAGCGAAGGAAGTCGCTTTGTTTTGATGTTGGATTTTGTATACGAGCGTAGGCACAAATGAAGTAAGTGAACGTGTGAATTACTAATCAAGGCAATAGAAGCGCTAATAAATTAAGTTAAAATTAATGTGAAAATATGTCGGAATTTTTTGACTAGAAAGTTTTTTTTATTAACTTAACACTATTTATTCCCGATAAATTTCTAGCATGTATTTAATTATTATCATAGAAGGAAAAATATACTCTAGATGTTATATTAAATGTAATGATATGCAGATTTTTAAAATTATTTTTCTTTTTTGTATATATTTAAAAAAAAAAAAATAAATATGTTTACCATAATTTTTACACTTTTATGTTTATAATATGTGGGCTAGTCCCTCAGGTTTTGAGATATGGATCTGAGTTTTTACACACGTCTCTCGTTCTCTCCAAGAAACTGCTCATTTGTCAAGTAATCAAGTCCTTGTATGGAAAACTTTTTTTTTGACAAATTATCTGCACAAAATTTGGCATGGGTTATTAACCAAAAAAAAGCTTATCAACTCTATCTTCAAAAAAAAAATTTTATATAACTTTTACTATATCTATATGACCCATCTTGATTTTCGTTTGTTTAATGAAGAAAATGTTGTTAAAAAAATTTAAATACAAATACTTTTTCACTTTTTTTTGATAAGTTATTTTTAGATTACTTTTTAAACGTTTTTCAAAGTAATTTTTTTTTAATTACCTTGATGTTTAATTTTATTATTAGAAAAAAAAATTATTAATTTTGTTAAGTTATTTAATTTAATTAAATTTTTTAAACTTATTAAATTGCTTTTACTTTAATTTAAAGTAATCAAAAAATTATTTTTTTTTTTAAATTAAATTCTTTAATAATTATATATTTTTTTAATTAAACTACTTTTAAAAAAGGTTTAAAATTTTTTTAAATAAATTTAATTTAATTCCTAGAAAATAAAAATTAGTTTAAAAATTCTGATGATTTATTTTTTGTTTAATTTTCGAAACCATTTTATCAGCAATTTATATTTAACAAAAACTTTTTTAAATTAATTTCAATTGTAATTAATATAGTTTTAATAAAAATTTCTTTAATAAATTTGAAAATTTTAAATTAGAATTTTTGGAAGTAAATTTGTTTGCTGTTTTTAATTAATTAGCATTTTAATTTAATTATTGGTAATGAAAAATTTGTTTGAGAAGTTTGTTAATTTTTGAGTAAATTTTGTAACCCGTTGCAGAGCAAATTTCCGTTATTAAATTTAATTTTAATTTAATTACTAAAACTAAAATATGTAATTAATACTTCTTTAAAAGTTTTTTAATTAATTTGATTTTTAATTAAATTATTGTTAGTAAAAATTATTATAGTAGTTTTGAAAATTTTAAATTCGAATTTTGAGAAATATTTTTTTTTTGTTTTACTTTTGAAAATTTTGAATTTAAAATTTGCCATATAAAAAATTAATTTAATAATTTTTAAAATTTTATATTAATTTTTAATTATTTAGATTGTGATATAATTATTTAAAAAAATACACAAATCCAAACAACTTTAACAATTTTCACGCTAAAAGTTACATGATTATGTTATAATCTATATTAGCTATAAAAATATTAAATTTTGTGTTTGCATCACTTATTTTTTAATTTTAATTAAATACCATTTTTTAACAAGTGAGATTTTATAAAACAGTTTTATATGTCTGGAAAAAAAACAAAAATTAAGTAAAAGAATAAAATAAAATTAAACAAAAAATTACAATTTTACAAAAGTTTTTAAAGTTCACTGCAAAAAATGTTTGCATTTTGACTTCTTTTAGTTGAAACTAATTTTTTGCAAATTCTTTTTTATTGAACATAAAAAAATATTTCCATTAATTATCAGGGATTTAAAATATATATTCCCACACGATCGCTCTACACTATTCTTAACTACATTTGCTGCCATGATAATTTGCGCTTTCAAAAGTTATCACAAAAATACCGTAAACTTTAAATAATATCAATTTTCCCATTTTAAAACAAAAGAGGATCAGTCGCACTTACTTAGTCTGATCGATGACCGGCTGCATCCAGGCGCGCGCACCCAACGGCTCCTCTTTCAGCGACGTCATGGGACCGCGCGGCTGATTCATATCCGCTGCGGTCGGTGGTAGACCGAACATCAGGCCGCTGGCCGAACGTGGACCCGTCGACGGATAGAGTTTGCGGCCCCATTCCAGCTCGAGCGTGGGCCATGGTGTGGCCGAGCTGAAGCCCGGTACTGGTTCGTCGGAACGCAGCTTGAAGCCGTCACAAGCACGAAGGGGATGTGAAAAAGAGCAAATTGTTGGTGCGGGAGGAGGCGACGGCGATATGGTGTCTAAAACTGAGGGTGCGGTACACTCGATTTAAGTAGTTTCTGAGTTATACGGATTATTTTGTAGGCTTATTTTAGCATTAAAATAACAACAACAACAACCGATAATTTGTTTACAACACGCGCTTCAATTTCAAGGTAACTGTTTGCAGTTCAACCACAGTTCTACAACAGTTATGACTTTCGACTTATTAACACTTGGTCCCCTAGGGCACTACGTCACGCGCGTCAAAATTTTTTATTCAATATTATTAAAAATAAAATCACACAAGCACTTGCAAAGCGTACGCATACTTTTCTGCCGCACTGTCACTATCACGCAACAACAAACACTTGTCTACACTGTCAATCAATTGGTCAGTCGCACGCTCACCGCTGACGCATACGCAAATTCCTCGAATGATGCTGGAAAATTTTTCAATATCGAATGAGATTTGACAACGGCGCTGATTTGTGCCGAAAATTTCATTGACGCTTGACGGGTAGTACTAAAACCCGCTGAGAATTCGATATTTTCCCCCGGTTCTGTGAGGGCACAATAACAATAACAACAAAAATTGTAACGAAACAATTCAGCTTTTGAGCTGGCGCTATGTGTTTTTCGACTCAAATATGTGTGGCACTAACTCTCTTGCCTAAAGTTCTTGCGACAGCTATACCGTCCCGAGTGGCTGTTAAACCCCAACTGAATCCCGCAGTGTGATGTTATGACCGGCAATGCTGCCACTGCTGCTGCTACGGCCACTGCGGCGCGCACAATACCAACGCACGACTAGCTCGGCACAACGCAACGCGACACAGCAGCGAACCAACGAGCCAACCAGCCAGCCAACGCCTCGGCCCGGCCACAATGCGACGCAGCAGACGACAGCAACGAGGCAACGAATCACCATTGGCGAGGGTTCAGGCACAGTGCTGCTCAACACAGCACAGCACAGCAATAACAATAAGCGCATGGGAGTGTGCTAACGGTTCGATCGATGAGATTGTTTGTGTGTGTGAAGGCACCACTGTTGGAAGTGCTAAGTAAGTGCTATAACAAAAGCAATGGTGGTGCAGTGGCAGCAGTGTTTTTCAGCAGTTCTTGTTGTTGTGGACGCACAGCGGCGAAGGCAGAGCTAAAGAGTCGATAGCGTAGTTTGGTGTTGTTGGCGGCAGAGCAGCCCCTCGAACTGCTTTGAAATTGGTATTGTTGTTGTTGTTGTTGCAAGTGAACAGCCAACCAACCACCAGCGACTTGGCTTCGACAACAACAACAATTTAGTGGTTATATGTCAGCAACAACAACAATTTAGTGGTTATATGTCAGCAACAACAACAGCTGAGTGTTGATATGCCAACAACTCAGTGGTTGCCTGTCTGCAACAACAACAGCTGAGTGGAGCAACAACAGTGCACGGCAAAGAAATTATAATAAAAGCGTGTCAATTAGGGAAAAAGAATTAAAAGGAATAAAAATTACAATAAAAAAGTAAAAAAAGAAGCATTTTAGAAGACCTAACCTATCACTAGTGGCGCTGCGCTGAGCAGGCGCATCGGCGCACGGCACACGAGACGCCAAATTGCTGTCGGTAGACGAATTCGCCAGCTACGAGTAGGTGCACTAAACGTTCGTCAGTGGAATAACAAATACATATGAAGCAGAGCTGGACGGGAGCTGGAGGGGGCCATATGCAGCTCAGAGCGCCGCTAGTAGATGTAGAAAAGTGACTTTCAGCGCTGCGAGGTTGCTGCAGAAGGCTATGTGTGTACATATCCAAATTGTTGTTCTTGTATGCATGTGTAAGTGCCTAGGAAAGTTTGATCGCTGTTCGTGGTTCAAACGATGGACTGAAAGGCGAGAATGTAGAATGCTTGTGAAGATAAGATACGAAACTCATAGTTGTTGTTGTTATTGTTGCTGTTTGCCAGAGATTTTAGCGGAGTTTAGTTGAACTTACATAGGGTGACACAAAATGGCAATCGCATAAAATATAAATTTTTTAACTACACACAGTTATGGACATAATAATAGGATATGTACATATATCTACATCTATACACTGTTGTATTAGGGTGAGCCCAACAAAACCTATTATCAAATTTAAAGCTCTAAAATTAACCTTTATTAAGACCTTTTAAAGGTGGCGGCGTGCGTTCAAGGTTTCAACACTATGAGCCCAGAATCAAATCTTGAGTATTTGTAATAATGTTAACTTTTCTTCCAAAAAAAAAAACTAAGAGGTCAAATTGAAAAGGGTTATCATTTTCCTCCTGTTTGCGTTTAGTCTAATTAATCTATAGTCTTCATTTTCTTTCGCTACACCCTGTATAAATATTTCTTCGCTACAACAACTGTAGGTGCCTAAAAAATTACTCAGTTCTAACTGTTGTGAATAGGAGCTGGCGCAGTTGCAGAGCCGAAGGAACCAAGAAACGTACGATGTATGTAGATGAGAGAGACAGAGATAGTGATGGAGAGTAATAAGAGCTCACCTGGTTAGAACAGTACAGCGATAGTGATTAGGAGGCGTTCATAATGGTTAGCATAAGTAAACATTTAGCTAACATGAACAAAAGAAGCAAGTAAATAATAATAGCAATAAAATGCCTTACGAAATATATGTATACATAAATGTATATTTCAAAAACGATAAAAAAACATGAAAATGATAACTACAGTAGATAAGAAAAACGCAAAGCAATAAATTTATTAGAAATGGAAACAAGATAACTAAATAGGAATAAATATATGTTAGGGATTTCTTCTACTATGATTATTTTTGCCTTCAAAAGTTATCTACCTAGGTCCTGTAGGGGAGGATGTTTTTTAAATTATTTTTTCCAATACTGTGGAAAGCATCTACATACCTACATACATATATTTAAATTCAATTCAATTAAATAAATTAAAATGTTTTTACCCATATAACATAAACTATTTAAAAATATAATAAAAAAATTATAGTAAAAAAAAATTATTTAAATTTTGTTTTAATTAATTAAATTAATTTTTAATTAATTAAATATTTTATTAAATTATTATAAATATTTTTATCATTCATAATATTTATTAAATTAAATTATTATACATGTTTTTTATAAATTAAATTAATTAATTTTTTTATTTTAATAAATTTTAATTAATTTAATTTTTTTATCAAATTAAATTATATAATTAAATTTATTTGAATTTTTATTATATTAAATTAAATCATAATAAAAATATTTAATTAAATCAGCTTCAATAAAGAAATTATTAAAATTTATTAGCTAGCTTCCATTGGTTTTTTCAACACTGTAGAAAGCAAATACATATTTACATTACCAAAACAATTATAGTAAAAAAAATTATTTGAATGTTTTATTAAATTAATTTAAATTATTAATTACATAAAATTACTTAATAAACATTTTTTTATTACATTAATTTAATTAATTTTTTCATTTTATTAAATTAAGTTAATTAAATTTTTTTTTTAATTTATATTATATAATTAAATTTATTTGAACTTTTTAGTATATTAAATTAAATTTATTGAAACTTTTTTAAACGTATTTTATAAAACGATAATACAAATCTTTTAATAAATCAACTTCAATAAAAAAATAGTTCAAAATTTAATGCCACAATTGCTATTTTTTCAAGACTGTAGAAAGTAAATGCATATTTTTTAGAAAAACAAATTAAATTATTTAAAATTAAAATAAATTAATTTTTTTTATTTGTTTTTATGAAATTAATTTAATTTAAATTTTTTTATTAGGTAAAATTAAATTGATTTTTTTATTATAATAAAATAATTTAAATTTTTCTGTTCGTATAACATCAAATATCAAAAATATTTTGTTTAAACAACTTCAACAATAAACAGTTAAAAAATAAGAAATTAATATTAAAATTAAAAATTTTATGTAAAATTTATTATAATATTTAACGCTACAGATAACCATTTCATTGCAATAACATTATTATTTGGTAGTTATTATTAATAATTTTTGTTTTTGCGCACAAGCAACTTTGCTCCAACCAAATTATATATAAAACCGAAAATATGAAATTAAACCGATTACACTCTGGAAATCAGCGCACAAATCAACCGCACACAGAGCAAATTGGAATGCAAATGATACTGGCAAGCAAATTAGTAAAGCTTAATGAAACTGAATTTCGAAGCATATGCATGCTTGTACTACATACATACATATGTATACACATACACACACTTATGCCCATATGTTTCATAGAAGAACACACATTTAATATAAAGTATGTACATAAGTATGTATATATATATTTGTATTAAAAATGCATGTAACATATGTACATACATACATATATGTGTACATGCATACTAACATAATGTAACTGACAGCTAATTAGCAGTTGGTCGTTGCTTTGCACAGTTTTTGTTGTTTTTTAATGCTGTTTTTTTTTTACTTTTTTCCTTTGTTTAGTTGCGCTGACAAGTATTAGTTGCGATTGGCCCCATTAATGAATGCATAAACGAAAATACACACACGCATTCATGCATACTACTGCAAACAACTGACTCTGCTCGCACGCCTGCCTAACCGCTAGTCAGCCCGATTGTCTGCCGCATTTCGTCACTGCGGCTTGTTGGTCGTTCGCAGCATGCGCAAACAAGATGGCTCAGTATTACGCAAACTCCCAAGTGAGTAGCGCACGTACACACACACACGCATACTGCTGGCGAACAAAGTTATTTTCCATTGTTATGCCATCGCACACACACACGCTGTAGCTAGCCTGTTCGATTTCGTCAACGCCCCTTCCCAATGTCGTTGACGCTGGCAGCGCTGCTGAGGTCGTTGCGCGTGCGTTTCGACGCAGCTGCAGTTGTTGCTGCTGCTTGGTGGTGTGTGTGCGCGCTGCTGATTTGTTGTGTGAAAGCAACACAGTGATTGGCGGCCATTTCCAGTGCTGTGATGGCGTGAAAAGGTGGTTGTTGGGCACAGTGAGCGCAAGAGAGAGCGAGAAATAGAGTCTTAAGTATATTAAATTGAATAGAAAATGTTAGCGGAACGTAGTGGAAAACATGAACAGTGTCGATACGGCAGTGTTTGACTTTTTAATGAACTGCTTAAGTGGATAATGCAATTGAATGGGACGTTAAAATTACTTTGTTCAAATTTATTCTGCATATTTTGGCTCAGCAGGTGAATAGGAAGCTCTATAAAATAGTTTTTTATACGGTTTATCGCAGTTCTATTATTTATTGAATAAAATAATAATAAAGTAACATTTAAAGAAAAAATATAAAGAAAATATACTGGATTATTATTGATTTGTTTCATATATTTTTTTAAAGCTTAAATAATTTATTTATATATATTTCAGTTTTAAATAATTTTCAAAGTGGATATTAAAAATTATTCGAATTTTTTTTCAAAATTTTACAAAATTAGCGAACTAATCCGCCATTGTTTTGATACTGTAGGCCTTTCTTTTAGCTTCGAACTTTAAATTAAATACCAAATTGCTTCTTTGAAACCGCTTTTAAATGTTCCATCGAAAACCGAAATATTCTTCTAACTAACTACTTGAAGAAAATATTATACTGAGTTAAATTAAGAAGTTATATCCACTTGCAAGTTAGAAAAAAAAACGTTCTTATGAAATTTTTTTGTAAGAGGGATTTTATTTAATGAAGAAATAAAAATAATGCACATTTACATAATTTTATGATTATATATATACAATACTTAATCAGGGAATAATTTTGAAACCTTTTGGATGCCCATAATTCCGTAGCCGATCTGCAAAAAGATCTTCTCAAAAAGGTGTTTGGCGGCGAGAA